GTAATCTTATTATGTGTTTTTATGGTTTTTTGCTTCATACTTATGTAAGAAATTAGCTTGACAACAAACAAGAGATAAGGGAACTATAATGCATGTAATGTTGTGGTAGTAAACAGGGAGAATCAGTACCCTCAAATTTAAGGCAACTACTTGAGAGCTTTTCGTTGCAATGCTATTTTCTAGCACCGAGATGCTATCTTTCAAGCACTGCAGTACTAAGAGTTTGTTTGGGGTTGCTGCGGTTTTTTTAAAAAAATGATTGTAAAGTTGTGGTGAAAAGATTAATTTCTTAGAAGGCTATAATGTGAATTATAAATAGATTTTCTTCTTAAAAGATTAGACAACATATTTCTTACAGTCACAACAATTTAATAGGTCATGTTGAAAAAAGTAGCTCTCCAACACAAAAATTTCTAGAAAGCAACAAGAAAGTTGTTCCCCAAATATAGATAAGGTGGCAGTCTAAAACGTAATGTAAGCAGAAAGCTATCTCAAATAGAACCTAAATTCGCACATCAAAACGCTAATACACTAATTTAAAACCATCAAAGCATTGCATATGTGTGCCACATAGCTACATTAGTAACCGCTTTGCCATGTCTCAATAAGGAAGTTTTCATTTTTGGAGTGGTCCCTGTGGAGTTATAAAGTAGGATTTTATGATTGGGAAGCGTTTTGAAGACCATCGAACATATAAGGGAGTTTGGAGGGGACTTAGGTAGACGAAGGCCTTAGTAAGTGTTATGTATGAGTGAGTGAAGTGAGCGTGAGTGAGGGAAAGGTTATATCATTATGCAAGTGGAATGGTGTAATTTTTTATCTTGAGGATCTAATTCAGGTGTTAATTATTTATTTCATTTAATACTTATTAGCGCATCAAGCACCGGAGCGCAAGATACAAGCACAGCGGTGCTACTGTCTTGGGACTTAGATGTCATCCGCTCTAGAATTATTGCTTGCTCTAGCTAAATTGAGCGTTGAGGTGCTCACTCTGGGCACTTGTTTATGTGTTACAAGTCCTTAATTATCCCTATTTAATACAAATAACATTACATATACCTCAAAATATAAAAATGATACATAAATAATATAAAAAATACATGAACATATTACCACATTTTATACACATCAAATTTTTCTAAATTTAAATGTTACTTGCCATCAAGTAAGTCAACATCTAAAATTAGAATTTTTGAAGTTCATGGTACATTATATCTTAGAATTGAATTGTTCCTTAACAATAACATAAAAAAGATAAGTCAAACTGCAAAATCTCTTAAGATTGAAATTTTATTAAAACACAATATTATATGTTTACTTGTATTAAGGCCCTTTTATATGATTATCTTTAAATCACTTATATATGGTTGAAAAAAAAACCTTAATTCTTAAATATATATATAATTAAATTGAACTTATCAATCAAATAAAATTAATGTAGTTATTCACTTCTTGGATATAATATTTTAAATTTAGTTTAAAGAGACTTTTGATTCTTTGATTCAAGGAAATGTGGATTGATACTAATTTTTGAATTCTAAATTAAGCACCTCCAAGGCTCCTGAATATTTAATTTCATAAGCATCTTGCATGCGTTCTAGCTTAGCTTAATATTGAGTGTTTGTTTATCATCACCTTGCATGTGTTTACTCTTTGTTATGCCTTTAGTTTGTCTGGATATGATCACGGTAGACTCATTAGAATAAAATCATTATTATAAAATTGAATTTTGAAATATTTTTCTCTAATAAAATTTAAGATTAAAACTTTTAAGATTTTAAAATCAACAATTTTATTTTCTGCATTTACCATCATGTATGACCTAGGGACAGGTTTTAAAACAATTACGACTGCATGGATATTACCCCCAAGCATGCTAATAGGGCCTCCATGCTTTGGATGTCTTATTTGACTATACATATTGCATCACTTGAGGAAAATACTCTTGCTTTCAAATATGGTTGACTCAACATTTATTTTATACGATTAGGTGGTTGTCTAGTATAATATATGATGTTAGAGGCTTTCTTGATCTAGACGAGATTACAAATCCTTTGTAGGGTTGATTAGTTTAATTTGTAGCTAAGTCGTCTGTGTCATCTTCTTTCATATATGTCTCCTATACATTCTCTTGGTAAGTATAATCAAAATTATCCTTTTTTTTTTCCTGTTAGAGCCATATGAGTTTATTTGTTTCTTTTCTTTGGCTTCAAATATACTGGATCACTTGAGATGATGTAACACATTAGTTGTTGACGAAGTGATCCCCGAGTTGGGTTGAGTTGACTATCTTCACAGCTTTTAGATCTAAAGTCTCAATAGTATGGAAGGACATGTCTATGGAGCCTCGACCAGACTATCTCTATTGGTATAGATATTTATTTGACTTAATTTATCTATCCTTTTGGGGCACATTCTTTTCTTTTGTTGAGTCCTTGTTGGCGCGTACCCTAGGCCCTCTCAACTCAGTGACATTTACTCGTCAGATTTTGAAGTGTATCTTCTTCTTGGTGGGCAAATTTTTCTCTGACGACTGAAGGATTTCCCCTATTGGGATTGTCAAAAATCTCCTTTGTTGTATATGTTCTAAATGACTAATTTAGAGCAAACGTAACATCTTCTATAATGAGTCTTCTTGAGACCCGTGAAGGCATGTCGTAATGGGAGGTCCTTTGAGCCAAGAATAAAACAAATTTGATTTTGTCCTCTTGTCTGGTTATGAGGGCTTTTGTATAGGATACTTCTTCTATATTTTCTGGGGTCGGGTATTGTTTGACTTTATTTTGGACCACATTTCTTCAGTTTATGTTACGAATCATTGCAGCTGCTCTTTTTATTTCTTTTTAGCTTTTGTCAAATTTTCACTGTAGTCTTTCTTCATTTGTTTTCTAAGCAAGGGTGACCAAAAAACAGGGACTTCAAATGAGACGGATGCTAAGAAGACCATCATTTTGGTCAGAACAAAAAGAGGTGCAAACAAGAATCAAGTCACCTCAGTAAAAAAGAGCAGATCAATCTATGAGCACCACTCGCTTTGAAGCCGAATTGTCGGTGTCGAATTATCCCATTGACCAACTCTCAAAGATAATATTAATTTTAATTTCCAAGTAAAAAAAAAAGTCAAGAAAAGATAAATCAAAGATCATTAGAGATCCCTGCATAATGAGTAGTTATTTTGTAGTGCACAAAAAATTCCTCTAAAAATAGAAAATGATTCATGCAGTAAGGGATCAATCTCTTATCATTGTGCCAAATATCTTTCTTTTTTCTCCTCTAAAAAGAAATGAGATTTCCTCTTTGTGGCTCTTAACCCTTAATCCAACTCTTTTCTATCATTTTAGTCATTTAATGTACCATTTTAATATGTGAAGCAAAAAGATTTATGCATGTACATCAACCCTACATCACATGAAACTTTCATTTCTAACCATTCAATAACTTACCAATCAATGTATTGTCTTTTTCCATATTTTTTTATGAATGCACAACCAATACAATCAAATGATAATTTCTTATCCTATCTTTTATGCTATAAAGAAAAAATATCATGTCTGCATGCCATGTGATATGTTACTTATTTTACTATAATACACAATATCTTGCTTCAGC